TATAAAAATAAGGAGAGTGGATGAGTAGTCAGATTGTGTTCAGCAGAAAGTGTGTGGATCCCTGTGAACCAGCTCAGACACAGATGAGTTCTCATATAATACCCCCTAAAGATCTTTAGCATCTTTTAGCTACAACTCCCTTATTTACAAGGGGTCACCATATAGTTGATTTGACAGAGTATTGCAACAGATAGTCTTCCTGACACAGCTGTCAATGCATTAATGGCTCCTCTCACACTCAAACCAGAGATAATTTGTTTAGATATGTGAACTACTTACCCATGTAGCCACTTGCTCTCACGGAGAGGAATAAAAGAAACCCTTAAATCCTATCAAACAAGTAAGCCTGCCTTGGAAATTGAATATGGATGGACATTTTTCACTTCAATTCAATTCAGTTGAATTTTATTTATATAGCACCAAATCACAACAACAGTTGCCTCAACCTGCTTTATATTGTAAGGTAAAGACCCTACAATAATACAAAGAAAACAGAAAACCTGTTAGAAAAATTATCTTATGAAGTGAGACACATGCATTTATTTACTTGCAAGGAAACAATAGCATACACAGTGAATGTCTATGTGAGTAAGAGGAGAGGATACCACATTACAAAGAAATATTGAGTGGCTGTTAGATCTGGCTTTCCTAGTGGACGTGACTGAAAGAATTAACCAGCTGATCTAGCAGTTGCATGGCAGAGAGTAAACAGTGTGTGAAATGATCAGTGCTGTGAAGGTGTTCACAGCTAAATTCTCATTTTATATCCAGCAGATACTAAATAAAAGACTTAAGCACTTCATCTCAGTTGCAAAGATACTGGAGTCCCATTTAGGAGCAGAAAAGGTATTTAATGGACACAGATTCTGTGATCTGGTGTCCAAACTGGGACAGGAGTTTTCAGACAGATTCTATGGCTTTGAGAAACTGGAGCCTGCTGAGACTTTTATTGCTAACCTCTTCCTAGATGTTGACACTAGTGAGTTGTCAGGGCAGATGACTGAGCTTTTCAGTGTTGGTCCTTTGGAGATGGACATCATAAATCTCCAAAATGATGTCCACCTTAAACTTCAGCAGCATTCTCAGCATTTCTGGAGTTTGGTGGAGCCAGACAACTATAAAAATCTTACATGGATACACTCTTACATAAAGCTCTCTGGTTGAATCTATGCAATGCCAATCTTCTCACTGACAGAAACTGTGCAACTCATGAACATTATAAAAAGATGGTGGATTTATGAGCTCAGAAATTTGCACTGTTTGCTGTTGATTTGTTTGGAGAAAACATGAATTTAGAGAAGTTCAAGTCCTTCAAATATGCTGAATCACATGCTGTTGAATCTTATTTGATTATCTGAGTTTTACACATTTTGTTGTTCATGTTCATGTTCATTTGCACCATTCATTATTCATTATTGGGTACTGTGCATAGAATTTAAGTTGAAAATTTTTTTAATGCATTTTGGAATAAGGCTGTAACATGACAAAATCTGGAACAAATGAAGTGCTATGACTCCTTTACACATACACTTTAAACGCATCAAGTGCAAGAACCCTCATGCGTTGCATAGGCTGGCATGAACATGCTATTTGTTCAAAGGCGCTGATGTAATGACTTACATGAATTTGCTCTAATTCAGTTCAAAGAAGTAAGCACCAACAGTTACATTTCTTCAAATATACATATATATATTTATATGGTCTGTATTTCTTGGAACTAGACTAAAGTAGATATCTGAGTATTTGCACATAAAATTGTTATGGCTGTATTAATTTAAAAAAAAACCAGTAATACACTATTCACTTGCCAACAGAAAGAAAAACATGCTCAAGTCTTCAACATTAAGACATTTGTTTCAGCTGTTACAGGCGCTAAAAAAACAGAAAGCAGGAAGCGTGGCAGTGACATTGCTCTGGATCTAATCTCCCACAGTCTGTATCCTTCCTCCTCCTATTTGCACGAATGAACTTTTGTTAGTTTAGAAACTCCCCAAGCCTTGCAGGCTGCAGGAACAACATGTCCTCTACTGTGCATACCAAACTGTACTTTTTCTCACAACAAAAATGTTCAGGAAAACAGTTTCTGGCAGCCATTAACCCAGAGAATTATACTGCCAGTCCCAGAGCCTTATAGTATCATTTTTATTGTTCTCCCACACTGTCACAGCACTCATTGTTTCAAGAAATAAAAAAGTATTTGAAAGCATAATGCTTCCTTCCTGCCCAACACTAGAGCAGCAGCTAACTTGGGGAGTGTCTAGAGAGCAAAGTAGAAATTCATTTCAGACGATACCCTCGTACAAAAACACTATACTAATGCAGTAACACTAATGCGCTACCTAAAGTATATTGATCATCCTTCAGGGGATATAATTATATTCTGCAATTTCAAGTGTCATAACAGGGGCTAACTAACATAGCTTGCTTGGGACTTCATCATGTTTCATTATGGACCCTGAGTTAAGTGGTTTTGTGGTATCGTGTATGTAGAAGTTTCTAGATAACATCAACAAAATAATCAACTTCAAATTCTGCTTCTTCTTGGTGAAAATCAAATGTTATATGTCTTCAATACATTTGTGTAAATACTGTGACTTTCATTTAGCCAACCAATTTTCTGTTACGAGTTATTATTTGTTATTTATATATGTTAAAGAATGGCCAAGTCACCAGTCATTCTGAGGAAGTCATGAGAAAGTTCAGTTTACAGCATTATGATTACAACATGCGGAATTCACCAGAATACACACTTGCTGCCAGTACTGCTCAGGTTTTTTGCCCCACCCCAAGAACTGAAGGCTTGACTATGAAAACTGTAACAAGATCAACACCTTGTCAATCATGACTGAAATACCTTAGGTTTTGCATCGATTAATCGTCATGCACTAAGGCATACAAGAGGAACACAATAAACATAAAAAAGCTTTAACTATCTATATGCAGACCCACTTCTTTCCATGTAATCTCCCTATTGTCAGCAATTTTATTTAAAACTCAAGTTCTAATGAAGAAAATAATGTAGGCTATAATTAATGAAGTTTTCTGTATAGATAGGCGATATATGTGGACTTTATGAAAGCGGCCAGGCGGCCTGGGTTCAAGTCCGACCCACGGCTATTTGCTGCATGTCTTCCCCTCTCTCTTTCCTCCACTTTCCTGTCAGTCTTTGCTGTCCCTATCAAAAATAAAACCATAATAAGGCCCCCCAAAAATAAAAATAAATAAATAGATATACTTCCTGCTTTCCAGTCTTTATGCTCAAGTATGCTGGTTGGGTCTTTATAGTTGTGCAAGATATGCACCTTCAGCAAGAAAGCAAATTTATTTATCCCAAAATGTTAAACTATTGCTTTAAGTAACACCAATGCAGAAAGAGATTTTATGTTTAAATATGATTTTATATTTGTGTTGTGATTTTTTTTTATGTTTAAATATGTAAGAATGTTTAAATAAGAAACAATTCACTGTGACCAATATTTTTGGGAGGAAATGGGTTTAGTCTGCCTCTCTGAGTTTGAGTGAATATAAAAGCATGAAAGCAAAAAGCAAGGCGAAAAAGTCCAGCTGCTGACAATCCCTACTCCCATCCCTCCCTCAGGAAGTCTCTTTTCATCTTACACAGAGAAAATGTAATCAGCACATTTCAAGGCAAAGGTGCCTTTCATTTTGGTGGTTTTACTGTCCTCTGTTCTCATCCCAGCACTTTATAAATATAGACTTTTATAAAGCAGATACATGAATATAAAAACTCCCTTTACTTTAACTTGTATGATTGGTTATTGTGTTGGTTGTCTCTTGGTCATTTTCACCAGTGGGAAGTACCATGGTCATGTAACTTCCTGGAAAGACAAGCAATTGCAATCTGGATAAACAGTTTACATAAGTAAGTAAACAAAAATGTAAGGACACATAGACAAAAAAGGGAAAAAATCTGGAGAGCAATTTGCTACCAGGAACGGAGGATGTAAAGGCACATTTATCATTTTACCAGCCACCTTTTGAACATGTCTAAAATAAGTAATGGCAACATCTTATCTCATCACAAAGGGTTAAAAAAAATAAAAAGAAGAAAAGGGAAAAAAGTTTGGCTTTTGTTGTCTGAAAATATATTTATTCCAAAATTAATGACCCTATAGAGCTTTCCATTTGCCCTCTGTCACAAACAAAGGAAGCAGTTAAGAGTCTGCAGGGATAAGTTAAATCACTTCAAACAAAATTGTTTATTCCAAGGCATTTTCCCAGAAGTTAATACTTTGAAATGTGTTGCTGGATGTTTACATCCCAAGAACAGAAAATCTGTTTCATATTTAGCTGAACGAAAGATCAATTTAAAGTGGTGATAAATAAATTGCTGTTGTTGTCCCTTCACTACTAGGTTACTGTGGTTCATTATCATTGTTTCTTATCACTCATCAAATAGAATGCAGCTCTTAGGCAGAGTTCAATGTGCTGTCCGGAAAAAGGACACAACTTTCTGCAGTGTTAGTCACGCTTCCTGGGTTGAGAGGAGAGTTTTTGCTTTTAAAAAAAGAAGAAGAAAAAAGCATGAGGCTCATCTAACTTCACTGTCTAAAGAAAACAAACAAACAAAAAAACCCACACTGTTTTAAATGTGCCATTTGAAACACATTGTGCCTTTTTCTTTGAAATATGCTACGTTATAAGCCCCGTCTCACTCTAATTTTGTTTTTCATCGTGTGTTAAAACGACAGGTAAAAGGTTTCATTAGAGAACTTTAAAAAATAGTTTGTTTGTTTTTTCTAATTTAAAATAAACAAAAATCTATGAACTGTCTTCTAACCGTTTACATCATTAATTAAAACGGTCCCAATTTGTTGACGAGGTTTGGGTGTGCGGGGGGAGGCAGGGGGGGTCGATGCTGCTCGCATGTCTTTGGTTAGATGTTGACCTTGCTGTGTGACTGGAAAGGTGACATCACACCACAGGAATGTGTCTGGGAACAGACCTCTCTGATTGGTGGAGGGGCGCGATAGGATCTGACCAGCCGAAATTTGGGCGTAAACAAGCCACATTTGACGTGCTTCTGTAGAAGAGCGGCAGCAGAAGAACTCTGGGTCGACTGGGAACGGAGAGTATTAACGTCGCGCATTTAATCAATTTATTCTCGTTTAGTGGTTTTATTTTTCACCGGTGAGCAGAATGCTTCCGATGTCTCTGTTAGTTTCTCTGTGCCTTGTGTCGTGTTTCGGTGCTGCCTACGCAAGAGAAAACGCAAGTAAGAAAAGTTTCTACTGTGTTTAAAACTCTGGCATTCCCTGCACACTGTTTAAAAAAACTTTCACTGGAAATGTGTTGATTTAGCTACATTTAGTCGGCATAAAATTGATGGTTTTCTTTTTTTTTATTTTAAAGTCATTGAAGAAGTGTTTTCCCTTCCAAGCTGAAGTAATAAAACAGTAGCAATTAAGAGCACTTTTTAAGTTTTTAAGAAATGATTTAATTAGCGATTTTAAATTTGGTAAGTATTGTTAAAATTGAAATTGATTTTTCTTTAATGGACAAAACTGGTATTAAGGTAATTAGATAAATTAGAAATGCATAATATGGACCTAGTAAAATGTGGTATATGTTTGTTAAACAGTTTGATACCAAATGAAGATTGTCTTCCTGTTGGATTAGCCAAAACTTTTCCATTTCCTTTACCTTTGATCAGACTGTCCCCCCCCCTTCTCTCTTTCTCCAGCTGCTCCACACGGAAGGGGCTTTTTGTATGGCTTACGCCAGTCAGTGACGGATGAACCAATAGATTATGATGATAACGGAACATTAAATCGTTCTTCAAATGGTCCCAAGGACAGAAAAGTTTTTTCGGAACAGGCCCTGATGTTTCTAACTGGCCCTGTTTCCACCATCCTTTTACCTTCCTTCTACACGCTGGTCTGCTCCATCAGTGTGCCAATTAACGTCTGTGCTCTGCTGGCCTTTGCTCGGGGGATCCGTCCTAAGAAGCCAGCTGCAATCTATATGCTGAACCTGGCCTTAGCTGATCTGCTCTTTGCACTGATGCTCCCCTTCAAGATCTCCTACCACTTTGAAGGCAACAACTGGAAATTTGGCCCGTCCATGTGCCGTGTGGTCACTGCTGCCTTTTACTGGAACATGTATTGTTCTGTTCTTCTCATAGCTTGCATCAGTGTGGACCGTCTGCTTGCTGTTGTTTATCCCATTGACTCTCTGGCTTGGAGGAGGCCAAGGAACACAGTCATAGCCTGCATAACCATGTGGGTGTTATCCTTGACTGGCTCTGTGCCTCTTGTTACATCGGACCAGACTTTTCACATCAGTGAGTTGAATATCACCACCTGCCATGATGTCCACTCCACAGATAAGATCGTCTGGTTAAAGACATACTTCGTCACTCTCTGCTGCCTCCTCTTCTTCCTGCCTCTGCTCATCACAGTGGTGTCCTACACTCGAGTCATCTGGTCGCTGAGCAAACTCCAAAAAAGGCTCCCTGGAAGCTCACACAAAAGGAAAAGAGCAATAGTGATGGTTTTGACAGTTCTGTTGATATTTGTCCTGTGTTTCATGCCTACAAACTGTCTGCTGCTTGCACACTACCTGCAGTTTAACACCGAGAAGAGCCAGGAGGCACCTGATGGCTCTTACGCACTCTATCTGGTGTTTCTGTGTTTGGGAAGTCTGAACTGCCTCCTAGATCCCCTACTCTACTACTTTGGATCCTCCCAATGCCAGAGACAACTCTCCAACGTGCTCAAGTGTCATAAGGTTACAAAGAGAAATGATATTAGTAATTCATTACCTGCTTCATGCAGATCCAGCACCAGACCAATGCTGAAATCCAGCTGTACAGAAAGTTCAAAAATAAACTCTTCAATTAAAGTGGATTCTTTCCAAGAAAACACCGACAGCCAATATAAGAAACTACTCCTCTAACTCTCACTGAGCTGACATTTTAATTGAATCCTTAAATGTGATTTTTTTTTTTAGTTATGAAACAACAACAACAATTAAAGCCTATATATAGGGTTTAGCTTTGTTTGGATTCCTAATTATGCCTTTTAAACGATGAAGGGAGTTCAGATAAGACTGCTTTTTAGAGCAACACTGAAATGAAATACTATTATTTTTATGCACCCTATATATATAAAGGCTCACTGTTCTGTAAGTATTATTCAATCCATTTTTTTAACTGTTTGCTTGTTTTAAAGTGTTTATATATAACCAGTGAAAAGCAGTTACTTATGACTTTTTGTTTTTATTACATATACCAGTTTTATTTATTTTTTTGCAGCATTTTTTCACTGAATAAATATTTTTGACTCACACTACAAGCATGTCTCAATGCCATCTATAATTTTAAAGCCCTTCATAGTTTGTTTCATGCCTCCCTCTGTTGGTGAGAGTGTGCATTGATGAGTGTCAGTTCATCCTACTGCACCAATATCCTTTTCTCTCCAGTAGGCAGTTGTATATTCCTTTTGCCTCATCTTTCATTCAGAGGTGTGGGTGGATGTAGCCAAATATTTAAAACAAAACAAGAAATAGCTGTTACTGCTGATAGATTTACTGGTCAAAGTGGACATTTAAACAGAGATGCCAGTTTCCATTATCAGCATGACATGTGTAACTTTGAAGTGATGAGCACAATTATACACAACCCACAGGAACTATAACTCACCTACTGTTCCTATAAAATACAGTTTTGAGTAACCCCTTTATATTCTTTATATTTTCCTAGTAAAATTGGAAATATGTGTAAAGGAGCATGAAAATATATTACATAAGGCAAAACAGATTTGAAGGACAGTCCACAGCTCTTCTTTAGCTGCCTTTTGTTTGTTTTTTTCTCTGTCAAGATGCTTCCATAATGTTGAGGTGTGGGCTCCAGGGAGGCCCATAAGTGAGTGTCTATTTTGTGTTTTTTTTTTTCTATCTGGGTATGCTTTAAATGTATTGGCAATATATTTGGGTAATTACCATGCTGAAAAATAAATCAATTGCCAATCAGACACTTCCCAGATGGTCTTGTATGAATGGGACTGCATTCATAATTCAATCAATGTTTGACAAGATCTCCAACACATGCAAACTACACACAGAAAGACCCCCCGCCTTATGGTGGAATTGAACTCAGGACTTTCTTGCTGTGCATCCCACCGTGCTGCCCAATACGACTGGCTAAAATGCAGCCACAAACTGTATTGACAAAACCTTCTGACTTTTAGTTTAGTTTGTGTGTAATCTGGCATACCTCAACCTTTTCTCCCTGTTTCCCTTTCTTAAGAATGGCTTCTTGACAGCCACCCTGAGTAGTTTCAGGGAAACAGGTGCAATGGCTGCACTGAAAATGGAAAGAAAAAAAAGAAGCAGCCAATGTCCATAGTTCTGTACAAGGCCTATACAATGACTAAAAAAATCGGGCTCCTTGAAACCAAAATTTATAGAAATGAGGGCTTACTTAGGACCTTTTGAAAAGTACTGTAATTTCACAACAATCAGATCTATGAGAAGAAGAAGACTTGTAAGATAACTTGATTGGTTACTCTAAATTGGCTGTAGGTGAAAATCGGTCATCAGGTTGTCATTACAGATGTTAGTACAGCCTGTTTCAGCCACAAAATCTAAAAAGGTAATTTATCCTTGAAAAGCACTGTGGCAAAAAGGTATATTTAAACACTGACATTAACAAATTAAGCTGAAACAATAGAGCATTTACAGTGAGATCCAGCGGACCTCTGGACACGCTTAGCTTGAAATTCTGTCTTTTATTTTCATGTTAACCACCTTTATATGCATTTTGTATCTTGTATTTTGCAGTTTGCACAGCATTAAACCTATACCAAGTACTCCAGGCCTGCTACAGTTGAAGGTACAAGGAGCACAGTTTATGATAATAAACACAAAATCACAAGATACCAGATCACATTGTGGTGATAATGTATTCTTTTGCATTACAAAACACAAATAATAAAGATAAAACATTTTAATGGATATTTTTTACTTGCAGAGAAATTAGACATTTTAAGTTTATTACCAAGCTGGCTGTTGAATGTGACTATTAAAGCCATGTTGCCAGTCATTTACCCCCGAGGAGATAAATGTTTGTAAATGTATAGTCTTCAGGAAACTTTGGTCAGTAATATAACACTCAGCTTACTTGCCCAAAGTGATCTTGTTACTAAAGGACAAGATCAGAGAGGCTAAGGACAATTACAGGAGGAAGCTGGAGTGGAAACTCCAGCAGAACAGCATGAGAGAGGTGTGGAGGGGCATGAAGACCATCACTGGATTCAGGCCAACCAACAGCAGGGGAGCTGAGGGAGGTGAGAATAGAGCCAATGAGTTGAATCTGTTTTTCAATAGATTCGACACCACAGTGTCTGCTCCCACCCCCACAACCTCACCTGTAGTCAGCCTGGAATCCAGAACCACACCACTGTGCCAGCCTCTCTCTTCACATGTTGCCTCCTGTGAGATTCCTGACACCCCTCCCCCACCCATCACCTTCACTCAATACCAGGTTGAGATGCAAATGAGGAGACTTCACTCAGGCAAGTCTGCTGGACCAGACGGAGTGAGTCCCCTTGTTCTCAAGACCTGTGCCCCCCAGCTGTGTGGAGTCTTTCATAAACTGTTTATGCTGAGTCTGAGTCTGCAGAGGGTCCCGGTGATGTGGAAGACATCATGTCTCGTCCCTGTACCAAAGACGCCACGTCCCAGTGGCCCCCAGGATTACAGGCCCGTGGCATTGACCTCCCACATCATGAAGACCCTGGAAAGGCTCATCCTGGACCAGCTGCGACCCATAGTAAGACCACACCTGGATCCCCTTCAGTTCGCTTATCAGCCTCGTCTCGGAACTGAGGACGCCATCATCTACCTGCTCAATCGTGTCTACACCCATCTGGACCAGCCGGCGAGCACTGTGAGGGTCATGTTTTTTGACTTTTCCAGTGCTTTCAACACCATCAGGCCGACCCTCCTGGGTGATAAGTTAGCAGCGATGCAGGTGGATGCTTCTCTGGTGTCCTGGATTGTTGATTACCTGACAGGAAGACCACAATATGTACGTCTCCCACAGTGTGTGTCTGACAAGGTGATCAGCAACACAGGGGCACCACAGGGGACTGTCCTCTCCCCCTTCCTCTTCACCCTCTACACCACAGACTTCAGCCACTGCACAGAGACCTGCCATCTTCAGAAGTTTTCTGATGACTCTGCGGTGGTTGGATGCATCAGCAGGGATGATGAGACAGAGTACCGGGCTGTGGTCGACTCCTTTGTCACGTGGTGTGAGCAGAATCATCTGCAGCTCAACGTGGCAAAGACCAAGGAACTGATCGTGGACTTCAGGAAGACCAGGAAACACTTGACCCCTGTTTCAATTCAGGGGGTCAGTGTTGACATTGTGGAGGACTATAAATACCTTGGAGTACACATTGACAATAAACTGGACTGGGCTAAAAACACCACAGCACTTTACAGGAAGGGCCAGAGTCGTCTCTATTTTTTGAGGCGACTGAGGTCCTTCAACATCTGCCAGAAAATGCTGAGGATTTTCTATGAGTCTGTTGTGGCCAGTGCGATCCTCTATGCTGTTGCATGCTGGGGGAGCAGGCTGAGGGTCGCAGATGCCAACAGACTTAATAAACTAATCCGTAAGGCCAGCAATGTTGTGGGGATGGAGCTGGACTCCCTCAAGGTGGTGTCGGAGAGGCGGATGCTGTCCAAGATAAAGACAATGTTGGATAACACCTCCCACCCACTCCATGACATGTTGGTCAGTCACAGGAGCTCGTTCAGTGAGAGACTGAGATTACCGAAAAGCACCACTGAACGACACAGGAAATCATTCCTGCCAGTGGCCATCTCCCTGTACAACGCATCCACTTAACACACTGTTTGCTGCTACAACTACACATGTTTCTTTTCCAACTATTTATTTATGAGTGACTTATGTATGTATGTATGTATGTATATATATGTATATATTGTACTATTCTTAGTTAGTGTATTGTCTGTCTTGTCTTAATGTTGGTTTAAAATGGAGCACTGTAACAAAAAATAATTTCCCCCAATAAAGTATTCTGATTCTGATTCTGATTGATTCTAAGCAGATGATCTACATTTCCCAGCTAATGGATAAGATTCTCAGGAGACTTCACATCAAGACACAAATTTCCTAGATTCCATTAGTGCCTAACCATTTCTGCAGCACTCATTTATATCAACATTTTGAGTACATGGTAAATGGCCTGCATTTGTATAGCGCTTTTCTAGTCCATAGGACCCCAAAGCGCTTTACACTACATTCAGTCATTCACCCATTCACACACACATTCACACACTGGTGATGGCAGCTACATTGTAACCACAGCTGCCCTGGGGCGCACTGACAGAGGCGAGGCTGCCGGACACTGGCGCCACCGGGCCCTCTGACCACCACCAGTAGGCAAACATGGGGTTAGTATCTTGCCCAAGGATATTTGGCATGCAGCCAGGATGCAGCCTGGGATCAAACCACCGACCTTCTGATTAGTGGCTGACCTGCTCTGCCACCTGAGCTACAGCTAGGTGGCAGAGCAGTTTATTACAATCTACAGTATGTTGTCATCAGAGGTGGGTAGTAACGAGTAGGGATGGGTACCGGTATCCGGTGCCATTGTGGCATAAACGGTAGTAACCAGACCGAAAAGCAGCGCACATTTCGGTGCTTTATTTCGGTTTTTGTTTCCTGAGATGTCATGCACTTTGGATTCTAGCCAATCATTTTACCTTTGCGAGCGTAAGTAGGCGGGCCCAGGTACGTACGTTCTTTTAGAGCAGAGCTACAGATTAAAAATGCCCAAGTCGAAGCGGTCAAATTCTGGCTGTACTTAACAGCAAAAGATGCAAACCCAGCAGCCTGCAACAAGTGCTTTAAGGTGATACTGTGCAAAGGAGGTAACTCCTCGAATCTGATGAAACACCTGGCGACGTATAGCATTTTGTTAAAAGCCGAGAAATGCGCCGTATTTGATAGCTTGCTGCGAGACCTCACACCGAGCACATCTACTGCGGGTGGGTTGCCTGTTTTCTAGGGATGGGTATTGTTTAGGTTTTATCCGA